GCAAGGACACTCTAGGGGCTCCTGGCCTTACTACTAGGAGCAAGGACACTCCTGCTAGCTCCTGGTCTTACTACTAGGGGCAAGGACACTACTAGGGGCTCCTGGCCTTACTACTAGGAGCAAGGATGCTACTAGCTCCTGGCCTTACTACTAGGAGCAAGGACACTACTAGGGGCCCCTGGCCTTACTACTAGGAGCAAGGACGCTACTAGCTCCTGGCCTTACTACTAGGAGCAAGGACACTACTAGGGGCTCCTGGCCTTACTACTAGGAGCAAGGACGCTCCTGGCTTCTGGCCTTACTACAAGGAGCATCCTGGCCTTACCAAGGACGCTACTAGGGGCTCCCGGCCTTACTACTAGGAGCAAGGACGCTACTAGGGGCTCCTGGCCTTACTACTAGGAGCAAGGATGCTACTAGGGGCTCCTGGCCCTACTACTAGGAACAAGAAGATCACAAGGTCCGGGTAAGGCAGTAAGGACCAGCTGGGCGGAATTCTTCTGGCCCCGAGGTGAGCACCAGAAGGATGAGAGGGACATCTGTTTGATCAGAATTCAATGTAATAAAGGGACAAAATAGATATCTCCAAAGTATTAGGAGCAAAGGGCATCGCTACTACGTTTGGGGCTCCTGGCCTCACTACGAACGGAGCCAAGAGGACGCTACGAACGGGCTGAGTATGACCGCGGTGAGTAATGACGCTTTCGAAAGCTCGCCTTCAGCGTCTCTGAAGGAACCTTCTCTGCGAAGGAAGCCAGGGGAGCTTGCTTAAGAAGAACCTGTTCGTGAATGGTCATCGATTTTGGGGTCCCTTTTTTTCGTCGAAATCCCTGACTTTGAGGGAAACTTGCCACGCCATTTCTGACATTACGAGCCCAAAGAGCTTGGGATCAGCAGCACTGCCAAGCGTCTCATGCAGTCAGTTACCTCAGACGCAAGGAGAGCATGGCAAAATCTGCGTTTTCTCTGTGAAGTCTGTAGACTATCTATCTTCTCTGGAATCGAAAGTTAATGTTGTTTCTCTCTTTTATCTTGTTTTTGTTTTTGTCATTTCTTCCTGTCATGTCTTTCATTTCAGCCTTTCATTCATGTCACTCAGAAAAAACAACGTGAGAATCTGATTCAGACCAAGACTCATGTCCAGAGTTCTTCAGACCGAAACATGCTCGCAGCTCTTGAGCCACGTGTCTCCAAAAGACGTAGAGCCAATGAGACGTAAAGAAAATATAGCTTCTTGTTACTACTAGTAAGGCACTTGTTACTACCAGGGATGCACTTGTTCCTAGTAGCTTCTTGTTACTACTAGTAAGGCACCTGTTACTACTAGCGTGGCACCTGTTACTACTAGCGTGGCACCTGTTACTACTAGTAAAGAAAATATGCCTTTTGAAATGTTTGAAAAGAACATATTCCACGAACAGCGAAAATAGCAGGGCCGGCAACGTGCCTCATGGGCAATTTCCCTTGGAGACAGGTCAGTGGTGTCAATCTTCTTGATGGCTCGCACCTGCCGGGAGAGACCGAACTGTGAAGCCCAAGACCATCCAAGGCCGAGGCCGAACCCGATCGGACGCTACGTTCGGGGCTCCTGGCCTTACTACTAGGAGCAAGGGCGGCACTAGGGGCTCCTGGCATCGCTACTAGGAGCAAGACGCTACTAATAGTACTTCTTGCCACCATTGAGAGCAGCAAATGCAAATCCAAGAACACCCCGACCGATTTCTGGCAATGGGATCGAGCCTGCCCAGATGTTCTGTGTGTGGCACGCCAAACAGTACTGAAGGCGCCTTGCCCCTGGGAGGGAGGAACTTTCACCCAGCTTCTTGACATGGCGACCAAGATGAAGCTCAACATACAGCAATAAGTAGTAAATGTGTTCCTTTGATCTTTTCGATCTTTTTGGTCTTTTTGATTCTGCCATTTCATTGTCTTTCTCCTTCCCAGTTTTAGGTCTTTTCTTTTTTCAAGTTGCTTTCCTTTTCTTGGTCCTCGTTCTACGTCTCCTTTGGTCCTCTAAGGCACCGAACGACGAAGGCCTCCACCCGGTAGACATCATTGAGAGGCTCGGGGAACTGCCTGGCACCCAAAGCACGACGGGAGGTTTGGAGGCCGTCGCTCTGAGGTTGCATGGCTAGAAGTCTGTCCAGAACAAAAAAGGAAAATGTCTTTAACTGCTTTGCAACAAAACATGCGCACTCTTTCCGGGTCCAGCCTTGCGAGTGCCTGAAGGGCAGGCGTTTTTGTGGAGTGGATCCCAAAGACAAGACGTGATTGTTTGTCGCTGATCACCTTTGCTAACTTGATGGCGAAGTGCAGCTTGAGTGTGAAGTGGTAGTTTTGATGGGATAGAGGGCAAGGAGCAAGAGCAGCATCAGAGAATAAAGCAGGTTTGAACAGAAGACAAAGAAGGACAGAATAGAAGACAGGACGAAGTTCAGAATAAGACCGTTCAAGTGGCATTCTTGGAGGAAGGGAAAGGAAGAAACGAACTTGCAAAAATAGAAAGGTCAAAAAAAAAACAACTATATAGTAGTAGGAGAGGGGACAGGTAGGAGGATAGAATAGCGGATAGCGGATAGGATGGAGGTGAAAGTTGCGGGTGACATTGAAGGCAGGATCGGATAGAGGATCGGATAAACGTCTTTTGATATTTTTCCTTTGCGCGCTCTTCCTCCGGACAGGACAGGCAGCGCAACAGTTTCTCGATTTCAGGTTTTGCGCATCACTCTATTTCAATGACTTTAGAGGATCATTGGAGGCCATCGCTAGTAGGTTGGAGGTAGAAGCAAGAACGCTACCAGTAACAAGGGCATCGCTACTAGTAACAAGAAGCTGCTAGGGGCTCCTGGCATCGCTACTAGGAGCAAGGACTCTACTAGAGGCGCTCCTGTAACAAGAAGCTACTAGTAACAAATGGACGCTACTAGGAGCAAAGGGCATCGCTACTAGGAGCAAGAAGCTACTAGGGGC